GCCCCAGCCCCATCACCACCCCTGAGAGGTTCCTGGGTGCAGAGCCGGCCACTGAAAACTCGAGACCTTCGAGAGCCCGTGTTGTCAGCAGCCATCGCCACGAAAATGGCCCAGTTCCATGGCATGGAGATGCCCTTCACTAAGGAGCCCCACTGGCTGTTTGGGACCATGGAGCGGTGAGTCAGGGGCCTCCGAAGGGCTCCTGCACACCTGGGCTGAACCCTCATGCTGGCAGCTACTACCCTGGGCTGTGATAATGTGTCCTGACCCTGTCCAGACGGCCAGCTGAGTGGATCAGGTGCCCCAGGGCCTAGCATGGTCTCTCACAGAGCAGGCTTCCAAACCTTTGCCAGATAAGCCATACAGTGACAGGAAAATGGCTAGGACAGCCTGGCCCAGGGTAGAGAAGAGGGGGTGAAGCCCTGCCGGTGTGGCTCAGTGGTTGAGTGTGGACCCAGGAACCAAGAGGTCACAGTTTGATTGCCAGTCAGGGCACAGGCCTGGGTTTCAGGCTCAATCTCCAGTAGGTGGCATGCAGGAGGCAGCCTTCGGATGTTTCTGTCTCATCAATGTTTCTATCTCTATCCCTCTCTCTTCCTCTCTCTCTAAAAACCAATAAAAACATATGTTTCTAAAAGGAAGGGGTGCAGAGGGAAAGCAGAGGGAGTGTGTCGTATTCTTTGGGCTTCAGGTACTTAAAGCAGATCCTGGACCTGCCCCCCACGGGCCTCCCCCAGACGAACCTGCTGAAGATGTACAGCCTGAAGGATGAGATAGGCAGCCTCAGGTGAGGGCAGGATGGATGCAAAGAGGGAGAAGGTACAGGAGGTGCTGCCAGGAACCTGCAGTATCCTCTCCGGGGTTTGCTGAGTTCCCACCAGGGCAGCTCTGACCTTTAGTCACTCCTGCTCAGACACGTGCCCCTGTCCCCTGCAGGAAGCTGCTAGACTCTACACCATCACCGGTAGTCTTCTGCCACAACGATATCCAGGAAGGTAGGAGAAGTCATCAGAGCCTTTCAACCTAAGGTGAAGGGGCCAGAGGGCCCTGGAGTGACCAGAACCCCACTGCATTCCCCCAGGAAACATCTTGTTGCTCTCAGAGCCAGAAAATGCCGACAGCCTCATGTTGGTTGACTTTGAGTACAGCAGTTACAACTACAGGTGAGACCCATGGCCCCCCATGGGTCTGTTCCCACAGTGCTCTGGAAAAAACAGATCAGCCTTCCTCTCCGCCTCCCAGCAGCCCAGGGGGCTTGAGGACTGAGTATCACCTTATTTCCCCAGGGGCTTTGACATTGGGAACCATTTTTGTGAGTGGGTTTATGATTACACTCATGAGGAGTGGCCTTACTACAAAGCACAGCCTGCAGACTACCCCACCCGGGGACAGCAGGTATGTGGGCTGGAGGCTGGGGAGTAAAACCTGGCCTGTGAGGGAGGAGGAAGGTGAAGCCTGGATGCAGTGGTGAGAAAGGGTGTTAATGGAAGTGCTCCAGCCTCCCTATTTCCTGACTCTGGTCTGTTGATCTCAGCTCCATTTTATTCGCCACTACCTGGCAGAGGTAAAGAAAGGTGAGACCGTCTCCCCAGAGGAGCAGAGGAAACTGGAAGAAGATTTGCTGGTAGAGGTTAATCGGTGAGGAGGGGTGGCTGGGGCAGGGTTAGGGCAGGGGGCCCAGGAAAGGGAGCCTAGGAAGAGGCAGGCAGTTGCCAGTGCCAAGTGGGAGTGGGGGAGCGAGGCTGGTGGGAGGAGTTGGGACAGGGTAGAGGTTAGGGCAGTGGGGGAGAAGTTACAGCTCTGGGAGCCAAGCGATGCCAAATGTGCTCTGAATCCCCCTGCTTTCCTCACCTCCCTCAGGTATGCCCTGGCGTCCCATTTCTTTTGGGGTCTCTGGTCCATCCTCCAGGCATCCATGTCTACCATAGAATTTGGTTACTTGGTGAGTAACCCAGGTGGCAAGTTAGGTGGGGGAGGAGGAGCAGCGGGAGCCTCTGGTCCTCCAGGAAGTCTGGGCAGCCATGGGAAGCTGGGAGGGGTACCCCTCCCAGGCCTGCTCACCAGTATGTGGGGTGGTCTCCTCCCCAGGAGTACGCCCAGTCTCGGTTCCAGTTGTACTTCCAGCAGAAGGGGCAGCTGACCAGCCTCCACCCCCCATCCTGACTCTCCACCCCCCCAGCTCCTTGGATGTTCTCAGAGCCTCCAGGGCAGGACCTTGGCAGGAGGAGCAAAGAGCAGGAGGCCCTGGGGACTGACTGAGCCCCCAGTGAGACGGGTAGAGGAGCCTGACCTCTCCCCCAGTTTGAGCAGGTCCCCAGGGGCAGGAACCCCTGGGCTGTGTACCTTGAAACAATAAACAAGTTTCTTCCTTCACACCCTGACCTAGCCCTGCTCAGTCCAGCAGAAAGTACCAAGAATGCACGCAGATTGACAAAGTGACCACTGCCCTGAACCTCAGTGTCCCTCCTGAAAAGCATGGCTGTTCAGTGCTCTGAGCTTGAAAATGGTTACGGGTCCACCTTGCTAATTGGGGGCCCCTCCCTTGGAGGGGGTTCTCCCCAGGTCGAGCTTAGGAGTGAGAAATACTCAGAGGGACTGGGGAGTAAAGCGGGTGCAAAGGGCGCCCTGGGTGGGGCTGCCCAACCCTGCCCAATACTGGAGATCCGGGGACCGGCGGCACAGCTGACACAGATGACCTTTCCCCTACATTCGACTATTTTTAGCTCTAATACCACCGTCCTCACGCGAGACCCTTTGCCCCACCCCCCACCCCCAATCCCCACACCAGGTTCCCAGACCTTTGAGCAGTCT